AATTTTGGCTTTGAATCCAAAGAAACATAATCACACTCATGTGCTTGCGATAAAATTAATGCAATAAAAATGAAATTAATGCATATAAAAAATTGTTATTGGAAAACCAATCAAATCAAGACAGAGTAGAATGCAAAGACCATGCACCAGCTGTTTATCCTGGAGATCAGGTTTGTGCTTGGAGTTTGTGGAGAGCTGTTGGGAAATCCAGGTGAGAGTAAGGGGTCTTTGAGGGGGTGATAGAACTCTTTGCATGAGTTTGGCTTCTGGGGTCAGTCTTTGTCTGAGTACAGTAGCATGCCTTTTAAAACATGAAACCTGGGCAGAGCTGGACTTCAGATGTGACACCAGTGGTGTGGTATAACCACATTCTCCTGGGCAGCAGGATGATGATCAAGCAGGGTTAAGTGTAGCTGGTTCATAGCTTCAGGCTGGCTCCAGCCTCTGGGCTTCTTATATTCTTTTGTAGTCTAATTCCTAAGATCTGATAGGTTCTTTATTTAACACTTTTCCTGGTAAGAGTGTGATGCTGGAGATGGAGTTAACCACAGTGCAAGTGTGACATGAGTTTAGAGAATAGAGGTTGTCTGCTGAGGGTCTTAAGGGTGTCATGAGACATAAGCTCAGGGAATGGATGTGCTCTTCAACCAGCCAGTTGTCATGGACATACAGAACTGCAAGAAACTGAGCTTAATGATTATTGTTGGCCCTTTCATTCCTTTCCCTGCATGATGCTGCCTTTGCAGACATAGCCTGATATCTGCCTTACTTCTGTGTAATAAACTTTGGCAGCAGGGAGACATTTCATTAACTCCTCAGAGCTGATTCTTACTCATAGCTAGAACTGTAGCATGAAAACTCAAACAAATCGTTACCAGGGCCTGGAATTTTCTCCAAAAATAAAGTGATGTGAGAATGAAGAGCTTAGCTGCCACCCAACAGCTCCAACAGCTACTTTGTGGACACAGTCTGCCCCAAACCTGCCTATTTATGATTTAGTTTAATCCATAATTTCACAATCATAGCCTGCTGGTATATACTCCTAATACAGATATATCCTATGGATATGAAATTTCTATATAGCACTGTAACCTGAGAACAGGGAGAAGACAAACTGCTCCATGCCCAGTGGAGCTGGCAAGTGTAATTAATTCTCTAAGTATTACTAATTTCACATTGTGTTCCTGTTGTAGCTTTTCAGCCTGCTTTCTCTCAGCCACGAAATGACTTCTTAAGCAATATAATGACAGGATGCTTCCTGCACATTGACCTGGGTTGTAAAAGATGGGCCACATTAATGGTATTTCCCTGTTTTCTCTGTCAATGCTGAAGAGGTTTTTTTTTTCCTTTTTTTTTTTTTCCCTTCTTTCTAAGAATGGAAACAAGACCTGTGTTGCTTTAGGCTGTAATTTATAAATGAGTAGCATGATCATCTGTAACTTCAAAGCATAGGTCAAGGGATTTTTTTTATTTTATTTTTTCTGTGTTCTTTAACTGGATCTTCTTTGATGTTTACACTGCACATACATCATGATCATTATATCCTGTACTCTTACATCATTATTACAGCTAAAAATGAGATGACTCGAGTTATGAACAAAAAAAATGCTTCAGTCTAACGCAGACAGATATGAAGGAGGAAAATGAGTTAAATACTTATTGAAGGGCTTGTTGCCTGGTGTAACTGTGCTTAAAGAGGGTACAACTAAGTGAGAAGATATTATTCCTTTCTGGAGTCATTTTCCAACCCAGCAAATCTTTTGTTCATTGATTTTTAAAATAAGAGAACATTCTGGGGTAAAAATAAAGAGTTTGAAAACTTTTCAGCAATCTTTCATTATATGCCTACTTGTTTCCTGAAACTGAGCTACTGATATTTTGCTTTAAATTTTGTGTGGCACACTTAAAAACTAGTTCTGTGCATAGACTGGAAAGCTGCAGAATTCCCTGGGAAAGACTCAACGTTATTAAACCATGAAGTCATGGGTTTTATTTGATGCATGAAATAGAATGTGGTGTTATCTATTTTAAAAGTTATTTTCTTATAGAAGTGGCTTTATAACAACATGCACACCTCACAGGAAAAGGTAGAGCTGATATGACACTAGTTTACTCTCCTTTTTGGCATGATGTCTGCTTTTGCTGCTGGATGGTGAGGTGTTAATTGTAGAAGTGTTCCAGGAGCACCTTCTGCTGAGCAGCCCTGGGAGGCTGTGAGTACCTGGGACTGCCATCGAGGCACACACCACAAGCTGGTCATCACTGGGATAAACATTTTCATCAGTGTTGTGTTAAAACAAGTGTTCAGTTTGGATACATCTGCATGTAAAAGGCAGTGACTGGTAAAACATTGTTCTTGAAGGTTTATAGTGGACCATATGCAAAATTAGCCCCTCTTCTCCCTAGACACTGATTTTTAGCACACTGCACAAAATGGGTTTTATCTGCAATGGAAAGGCTGTAACTCCAGAGTCCCGTTACTAACAAGTTTAAGGGTTTTTTTTGAACAGAAGTCCATCACATAAGTATTTTCTGAGCTTTCCACATCATGTATTTTGTGCAGACTACGGTTTGGAATTCAAAAATCAATTTAGAACTTGGTGCCCTTGTTTTTGAAGTAGGAATATTCAAAATGGTGGCTGCACTTTAAAATCCTCATTTTGCATGCAGAGTAACATCTTTTTAATAAGGATTTTTACTGCAGTATCTTAATGCACAGTTTTATTGCCTATTATTTTTAGCTAGCTTTTATAATGCCTTATGTCTGGGGTTTAACACCTTAGCTATTTCCCATCATAACAGGTTGAAATTTGGCATAGCAGTGGCAACCTTCATTTCAAAATTTTCACAGAAAATTGTAAACAGCAAATTGCTAATTTGTAAAGATTTTGTTAATTTCCACACTTTGAAGCCTGTCAACTCAAATGTCAAATAACGTGACATCCATATGGACCATTAGATCAATGAGAGTGTAGGACCAGAGCTGCCTCAAAGTGCACATCCTGTAGTGACACCTCTGATGTTCTAGAACAGCCAAAAAGAAAAAAAGAACTAAAAAATCGAAAAAGCAAATTGTCAAAGTTATGGTAGGAAAGGGCAAGACAGCTAAAAACTGTCTTTAAAAAAAACCCTTCATTCTGTCATTTTGGAAAAGTTCTGAAATTTCAGTTTCCAAGTTGCAAATGTGGTGCTGCAGCAGAGAACTGGTTTTAAGCCAGCTTCAGAGCTAGCAAGTTTTGAGCATTCAAAATGCAACCAGAGTGCTTTTCATCAAGCTCTCTATGGGTAATATTTTGGTTGATGCTTATTTTATCTTTGACTTTAGGATGTGATCCAAATAGAACGTAATATTGTTTTCTCCTTGGTCTGGAGTAATAGTATAAATGTTATATATTTCTCATGGATTTTTTGTCTAAAACTTTTGGAATTCATTAAATGTGTGTCATTGACATTAGTAGTATGTTGTAGTAACATAAAATATTCAGGGTTTGTAATAAAATGTTCTATACTTGTTATAAAGTTCATATTAAATAGCTGGAATATCTTTTATGATTCAAAGCACCAGTAACCGAGTCGCTTGGGCAGAAGCTGCATTATACTTTATTTGGGGTATATTCATTTTGGCAATGTAATATCTCATTTGAAATGCCTGTATATTGCACTATTGATTTTCATGGGTCTTAGAACAATAAAAACATCATGCAGCAATAAAGAAAAAGCATGCTTTTTTCTGTGTACTCTGTGTGGATGCAGCTCAGAGCCTTTTGCAGAAGTAAACATAAAACCTATGTTGTTCTACAGAAACAGGGAGTTATTTTACACAGTGCAGTATTCAAATCACAAGTTTTGAACTCAAATGTGGTCTTAATTCTGCAGAGCTAGGCTCTTTTAAACATACTATCAAAGAAGTGCTCTTGCTCTAGAGAGGAGCAACGCCTTTCTTTTTGCCAGCTTACTTCCAGGAAAGGTTGATCTACCATGAGTTAGGTTTATAGATTTTTAAAACTGTTTTATTATTACAAATTTTGAACACTTTCCAGGCTTCACTTCTAACAGCTCTGCTACCTGGCGTAGGAAAAACTGAGCAAAGCCTTGGAAGAAACGGTGTCCAATATCTCCAGTCCTGGAGACCTTAGAAGGTCAGGAAGGAGCCTGTGGTGGTGACCACCTAATATTATAACAATACTGATCCATGGGAGATATCCAACAATACTGTCATTAGTAGTCACTGATATTAACTGAGTCAAGAAGTAAAAAAACCCCACAGGAGATTGGGAGAGAATCCTTGATTTTGTGGTATTGACTTTATCTGCAGTGCCTTGGGCACTAGGTGACCCATTGCATCCAGCTGCCTTGGAAAACTTTTTAGCTATGTCCTTGAGCAGATTTTTCAGCAAATATGAGTTAATAATGCCGTGTCATCTTAATGCATAAGCTTGCATAAATTATCTGTAATTATTTTTACTTTTCTGGAGATCATCTTAAAAAAGGCATTTTTGGATTGAACTATTTTTTTTTATTTTAAAGAATTTTTTTTGAATAGTAATTTCAGCTCAGAAGAAGTTTACTTGGAATTCACATTGCTGCCTCAGTAAGGAAAAGCAAATGTCTGTATACACAATCCTTCTGAGGTCCTAGGCTGAAGGTTGGGGTGGGTGGATGTTGAATTTAATGCCTTCGGACAAAACAGTGGAAAAATTTCCATTCTATTTTTCATTTTGTGAAAGGAACTCGGACAAAATGGTTATTGTTAGAAATCAATAGTTAATTGAAAGATGTGGTACATTTTATGATTAGTAGTTAGAGGAATTCCCAAATAGTAGTATTAAGGTTTTAGTGTTAGCTATTTATAGAATTTATTGCATTTTTATGTCATTGTTAGATGTATTATTAGAAACGTATGTATTTCTTAATATTATCTATTTCTTAACTCTGAAATCTGAGTTAAAAGATTTTATACTAAGATTGATACTAACTTACTTTCTTTACAAAACCTTTAGGTTAATTGGCTGGTGGGGCCATGAATTCAAAACAAGATTCCTCATGGAGAACAGTATGTACTTGTACACTTTCACTTTTACCTTATTTGATGCATCTATATATAACCAGCCTCACTTTTATAGTAGTTTGAGGAGAAAGGATAGAACTTTACATTTCTTCACTTACGTTAAAGGTATTAAACTCAACTCATCTGAAATATGTAATGCAATGGAGTTAACAAAATAAATGTGGGAATAAATTTTGTCTCTGGGCATATGGGTCTGGCTGTCTGCTTCCAGACATTTTGCTGAAATACCTTCAAAATGCAGATATAGAATATGGATGAAAATTTCAAAGTATCTCAGTGAATTAAACTCAAAAAGTCTCTGAGGAGCAAGGCTCTACTATCATTCACTTGGTTAATACCATACTTTAGGATTAGTTTCACTGGAATTAATGAGAAATAACATAATGAAAGGTAAGGTAATCTGACATAAGTCATAAAATGCCACTAATACCCCAGCACCTCCAAATTCCTTGCGCTAGCAAAGGATAGGTTATAAGACAAAACCAAACCTGCTCTGAAATAGCTAAGTATTTATTGTCCCAATACAAAATGAGGACTTCTTTCCAAACCTGACAGCTAGACTGTTCAGCTTCATTTTAAAGTACGGCAGAGAGAATATCCTGAGGGATCAGGAGGAGAGAGAAGCTTTTTGGTTTGATTGGTTGTTTTCTTTTCAATATATTTTTAATTTTGTGTGGCAGTGCCTATTGATGTGACTTTGGCTGGAGAACACCTCTTTAATAGCCTCAGTCTGCTCTTTGTTTTCTGACCAAATGTAAGAGAGTGGCACTATAGAAAGCCAGCAGGAGACACAAATTGCCTTGAAATACTGTTAGAAGAAGAAAAACATTGTTTATTCATTTCCATGGGCAGTTTATAGGGGAGAAGTTGGGCAAGCAATCATTATAGAATTAGCCAGTCTGCTGTGCATGAAAAGAATTTCCTCCGCAGCATCCTCTTGCTCTGGTGCTGGAGCATGAAATATGAATGGTGACACAGAACTTACAGTGAAGCTTTATAGATTTATTAAACAGATTTTTGTGAAATTTCACAGCCTAACGTCTATGCAACTTCTCTCTGTGGCCTGAAGCTGCACTTAGCTGCATATGTAGCCTCCCCTGTGTCTCGTCAGTTTAATAAAGTTAAGGAACATGATTCCCTGCTCGTGCTCGGCGGCTCTGCACACGTGTGCTGCTGCTGACTTGGAATTCTCTCTGGTTTGTGCCAGTATTAAAAGAGATTCGAGTGTGAAGGTGGGTTTCACACACCCCATTTAAACAAATTAATTCTCTAGTTCCCATGAAGCTGCTAATGAGGTCTGCCACTGGGTAAAATTGGGCTTCTCTCGAAGTTGAAAGTGTTAGCTGTGAACAGATTACTGTTTCCTTTTAATGATCAGTTCCTACAGGCCACATTAGTGAAATATTTTATTGCGTGAGGATGGACTTCAAGATAAGGCCCAATCCGTTAAAAGGAAGAAATCAAAAACACTAATATAAGTTATTCATTTTCCAGAGTTACAACTAAGTGAGGGAATTAATGGATTTCGGTTATCGAATCCTCCAATTTTACTGGTCTGTGCTCTGCAAGCTAGTTTAGAGGTAAGTAATTGCTTTACTTTGAGCCTGAATTTAAGAGTATAAAAATGTTCAATGAATATTCTATGGATTATTGCTGTTCCTCTTTCTAAAGTTTGCAGAAGAGCTAAAAAGTGAAGGGAGGGGGGAATGGAAAAACAAATAAAACAACCTCATAACTGTGAGTGACCAAAAACATTAATAACTTCACTCAGCTCTTCACTATGCCCACAACCCTCACTGTTGGAACCAATATAGGTGAGGTTTGCACCTCTAAGCCTGACTGTTGGCACTGTGTTTGTCCTGGCTTTTAGGGACTCCCTACAAATAATAACTCTTCCTATAGAGATATTCAGAGCTTGCCTCAGTGCAACTCATGTGAAGGATGCTGTTCAAAGTCTTCCTACAAAGAAATCATGTAACTATGTAAATTTGCATCCAGAGTTGCTTCTACATGTGTTTCCCATGAAATCCATATGAAAATGGATGTGGCCACTGGGGTTCCAGGAGCCTAAATTCAACCAGTGGCTCAGGGAACTGTCTTCTGCTGTAGTCCCTTTGCCTACAAACAGAAAAGATACAAGCTGTCTGTGAATACTTCCTTAAAAAGGGGTTAGTGTGGTATAGCTCCAAACTGGTGGTTTGTTGTTGTTTTTTTGTTGTTTTGTTTTTTGTTTTTTTTTCATTTATTCATCAGTTTTCTAGTGGCTAGAGGAGCAGAGCCCCATCTCTGACCTACATGTATACATGGCTGTGGAAAGGGCACTGCTGCCATACACAGCTAATCCCTTCTTGGCTAGGAAGGGGTGATCCATGTGCTGAAAGTCCTCTGTTCTGCTTTGGAGAGCATAATTCAGCCTCATCTGAAGGCATGCAGCTCTTCTCCAAACACTTTTAGTCATGCTTGATAGGTATCATTTCATATCAAGATATAGCAGCACTTCTCTTACAGATGGCTTACCCCTGAAATGCAGGACTCTGGGTCTGTGTGGCTGAAAAGGGTGGTTTTCCACAGATTTCCCTGCTAAATGATGTGTATGCTACGATGTTAAAATTTTTCCTTAGCTGCTTTACAAGCCAGCCTTCATTAGCAAGCTTTTGCCACCAGTGTAAATGGGAGAATTTTATATCTGCTAGCATTCCATTAATGTTTGTGTCATGGTAAAGCTGATGCTGGAACAAAGAGCAATGTCCATACACTGCAAGTCCCTCTTTATTTAGTGAAAAAACAATATCTTAAGCAAACAATGTCAGAAATTTGCCAGTTGTGCTCTTTTCAGCTTACGTGCCACGCTGAAGGACTGCAAAGGGCAAAGCAATGCTTCTTGTTCTGCCTGACAATTTATTTTGTTAGCCCTTAAACATCCAATATATTTTTTTAAACTTTATGTGACCTTCGAGATAAACTGAAAGCTATTCTGCTATGACCCAAATTGTCAGTGCTCCAGTTTGTGTGGGTTGATGTCATTTAGCCCACTGCAGGGAGCCTCCAACAATGAGGGCTGAGCAGTTTCCATCGCCTCCCCTTCCCCAGCCCGCATTACCTTTTGGCACAACCAGGATTTCCCAGTGCTAATTGCTCTAATACAGTGGGAAACAAAATAGTTTTCATGTCTGGCAAGAGCTGGCTGGTGAAATTGCAGGCCACCTTCGCTGGGACCCATTAAGCAGAAGGCAGTGTTTCCAATGGAAACCATGAAAGCGGCAAGTGTTAATGGATGTTATTCCTCAATAATGCTTCAAGTGACTGTTATGGCAGGAGCTGCTCCCTTTTATGGAAAAAAGGGGAGCGCTCTACAGCCACATTTAAAAGATCTTTTTCCAAAAATTTCACCCAGGAGGCCAAGTATTCCTTGCACAAAGCCTGGGCAAACAGATTTTTGCATGCTGCCTAAGGAGATCCATCCCTCACACTGCTGTGAAGCCCGGAGGGATGGGAAGCAGCTCTCCATTTTACCTCCAGTAACGTGCTGAATAGTCATGTGCATCCTCTGCCTGCCTGCCTGGTGAGGGAAGCACCTCTAGATTCATGTTGACCCGTGCAAGTACTGGCTGCTGATGGCTCTGGTTGCTGTCACGTTCTTTTCTGTGACTGCACTGTCTCCTTGTAAAGTCTGTCCTGCAGCAGCCAGATTTTCTTTCCCAAAAAACACATGTAGGGGCTGTGGTTTTGTGCAGCATCTGGTAATTGTGGTAGCATCATGGAGGAATACTTGGGGTATTCTACAGAAGAGCAATTTCCGTGTGCTTCTGGAACACAGACTATTGTATTTTGAGTAGGATTTCTCAGTTACCTCTTTATACACTCTTCCAGGTTCTGATATAAGGAATCTTAAAAATGTTACAACCTTAAAAGTGTTATAACTTTCCTTTCTTATGGGGAAAGGCTGAGAGGCCTTGGTCTGTTTAGCCTGGAGAATAGAAGACTAAGAAGGGCTCTTATCAATGCTTATCAATATATAAAAAGCAAGTGTCAAGAGGATAGGGCCAGACTAATTTCAGTGGTGCCCAGCAACAGGACAAATGGCAACGGGCACAAACTGGAACTCAGGAAGTTCCCTCTGAACCTGAGGAAAAATTTCTTTCTTGTGAGGCTGGCAGAGCCCTGGAACAGGCTGCCCAGAGAGATGGTGGAGTCCCCTTCTCTGGAGAGATTCAAGCACTGCCTGGATGTGAAACTGGGCAACACATTCTAGGTGACCTTACTTCAGTGGCAGAGGGGTTGAACTGGATGATCTCCAGAGGTCTGTTCCAACCCCTACCATTCTGTGATTCAGTGTGGAGCAGTGATTTCTTGAGAGTGAAGATGATGAGTCTTCATACACGGCTTTGACTTTGCCTCTGGTTTTGCACCTTCAGTCAGTGGAGGTGTGATTGTCCATGAGCAGCAATACAGCATTTATGTGCCAGAATGTGATTTGAAGTGACTATGGAGTACTTGCATGTCTGTAGCTTACCATTTTTCTCTGAAGCCACTTGCAAGTGAATAAGAAAAAGGAAAGTCTGAGGAAGGCAAGAGTAAACTGTTTCTATGGTCATGTTTCCTTTATTCTATGTAACTGAGTGTTTCCAGAGCACAAGCAGGAGCTGCCTCAACTTCTGCTCACAAACTCTTCTGCTACATTGTGTTTCCTTGTTCCTGTGGCAAAATAGCGTTGCCATTTTTAAGCAATCATTTTTGCACCCCCCATGAGGTTTTGAGTTTCTGAAAGCTCACCAACCCTTGTAGCCGTGTAACATAGAGCTATTAAATGAGAATCAGGTGAATATTTTTTCTTCATGCAGGCTGGTAGAGCCAGAGCTTGTACAGGACTTAAAGCATCAAAGTTAATAGGTTAGTATAAATTTTGTGTTCTTCAATACAAGAGTTTGCAGATCAATCATGATGTTTCAGTCTCGACAGATGGATTTTGTTGCTTCAGGTCCATACAAGAAAAACCTTGTATGTGATTTTGAGTTTTGTGCAGCCCTGTTGCACGTATAGAGAATGTATGGATCCTTTTCAGATGTGCAAATGAACGTTCTCTTAGCAAACTGGTTTTGTTTGCAAGTTCACTTATGCAGATGTGGATGCTTGTAAAACTTTTTAGCAATAGATGGAAATGTTTCAATTATCTAAAGTAATAACATGATCCTGTGTACCCTCCCATATTTATGTTTAATGTCTATTTGATATTTCTACTCTATTCCAGTGATAATGTGGAGAGAAATCTGCTACCCTTTTAGTCATCTTTACTTTTTATTTTCTATAGCAATGTATTATCATTCTAATGATTTTAAATCTCTATAGGTTTTTGGTCAAACTACAATGAAAGCATTAAGAAAGAAATCCATTCTACTTACTGGTTACTTGGAATACCTGATAAAACATTACTACAGTGAGGATAAAACAAATCCAGAGAAACCCTTTGTAAGAATAGTCACACCATCTCGAATTGAAGAAAGGGGATGCCAACTTACACTATCATTTTCCCTTCCAATCAAATCTGTGTTTAAAGAGCTGGAGAAGAGAGGAGTAGCTGTGAGTAAATAAAATTTTTATCCTACACGCTGTTTTGTGAATCTGTACCATAACAAAGTGGTAATTTTGGTTTTATTCAAATCTAGTTTCATACAAGGTCAAAAAAGATTGAGGATGATGAAAATTGCTTTCATAGTATCCTCCATCTTTACTTGTGTGAATAATCAAAGAAGTAGAGTTATTTTCTGAATCATTTGTTAGTCTGTATGTTGTCATTTCTCTATTGATTTATTTCCAGTTGTTCTATGAGTACTCCTAGGAGTCACTACTGAGGTTAGAGCTGCTTTATTTGGTGTGTTAGAGATCTGATGGTCTGAAAAAAGGAAAACGACAGTCAGCAGCACCTGGGGGGTGCTCACCATCCTCAACACCACAACTCACCCACTACAGACTGGTGATGAGGGGAGCTTTGCATCTCCACCTGTCCCCTTCCTCCTGCAAATGGCCAAAGCCCTGTTCTTTGCCAGACATCGAGGTGGAGGAGTTAAAAAGCTGCCATTTCCTTCGAGATATCTTTTAGCACTTAGAAAAGGAGGCCACTGAACAGCAGTGCTATGTGATGGCAAGGTTACTGGTGAGCACTGCTCAAAAAGAATAAAAGCTAAATTCAGGGCTATACATTCAGTGATTTAAAAGTGCTGGGAGGTGAAGCTGGTGGCGTAATGTCATATAGATGATAGATGAGTTTTATTTCTCCTGGTGGCTTGTGTCCCCAAAGGGCAACTCTTCTAGGCTAAATGTGCTACTGTTTTGGTGCTGCCAGGAAATTCCAGGAACTGCTGCTTTTAAGAGGGCACAGGGCCTTACCCTGTTGGCTCATCTTTGAGATGCAGTAATACACTTCAAGTATGAGATGCTCTTCTAGTTAGCAAAATGTTCAAACTCACAGAGTAAGGGGAAGAAGAATGGTGCAAGCCTCGTGGCATTACTTGTACCTGTAGTACAAAACACGTTCGTGTTCTGTGGTGGCTTTGTTGTCACCTGTGTGCCTTCTCTACTATGGCTTGCTATGGGCACTGAGGTTAATTATGGGGGTACATAGCTGGTCTGGAGCCCCTCAAAGGCATTGCTAGAGTCGTGCCCGTCCTGAGTCTCACATCCTTTTTTAGGCATCACACCACTCTTCTTGCTATGTTCTTCACAATAACCCTCATCACAGTAGTTTCTTGGGGGTCCCAAAGTTTTTACCTGTGTCTCCTTGTCAGTCCAGTCATTTTTCCTTGAAGACATGGATGACATTAAAAAATAAAGGGTGACAGATAAATATGAAGTGATCTGATTTTACTAAAGCATTCCCCTCTCTGTTTTCCAGTGTGACATGCGAGAACCAAACGCTCTTCGCGTTGCCCCAGTTCCTCTCTACAATTCCTTCCGTGATGTGCACAGATTTATTGAAATCCTGGGATCTGCAATTACATCTTCAAAACAAACAGCAAACAATACTGGGCTATCTGCTTCTTATTGATGGCTCAGCTGTATCTTTTAATCTATTTCTGACTAAGATGCATTTATCCTGCTGAGCGATTCTTTGCTTTGAGTAGCCTGAGCTATATCCCATGCAATTTGCAAAAAAATGACTGTGCTTGAATAGTTATTTACAACAGACATAGTTTTATTAAAGCTCACATTTCCACTCTGCTTTGACTTTGACTTCATGAATTAGTATGCTTTGTATATTTTAATGGGGCTTTTCTTAAACATTTTATGTAGTTTTATTACATTAGCTTTGAGAAGCATGGAAGAATTGCTATCAACTAGAACAGGAATAAAAAAAAAATCCCTTCTTTATTATAAAAATGATGCATAATAAAAAGTGGAAAATAGACAAATCACCAACTGTTAAAAGATACAGTCCAATTTACATTTTTAATTTATCACTTCTATTTAAAGTACATGGTATACTTGAAAAGCAAAAGTTGAACAATTAGTTGATTCAAAACCATTAACTGCTACATACTGAATTTTTCAAAGGGCCCAACATTTTGAAATTCTGGTTTAATTAATGATTTAATTGAAGAATTAATTTACATTGCAGATATCTTCTTTGGTGTGAGAGTTGGCTAAAACAAAACATTTACTCTTTATCTTTCTAGGTAGTCATTGTGGAGATGATATGTTTGAGAAAGCTGAGAACAATTTTAAATTCATGTAAGCCATTATGTAGGGCTGTATGAGCACTTACTGCAGCTTTAGCAAGGCTTATTTTGGATTAGGGAAAATGAACTCCAAACTCTTTAAGCAGCAGCAAAATATCTCATCCTTAAGCTACAACGTGGCCAAAATTTTTGCAGAGATTTGCACCAAGTAGCTAAAAACAGTGAAGAAAAACTGCTTTTATTTAACTGACACTTTACCTGGAGTTGTTTTAAGACATAAGGAACACCTTGGCACAAATGGCAATTAAGCTCCTAAGTCTGGAAGTATCCAGCATGTTTCCTTTTTCAAGGATGAGCTAAAATTTTCTCTCAGATGATACTCAATGTGTCTGATTTTTAGTATGAAACACTTAGAAAATTACTTTAAGTACTTATTTGTATACCTCTTCAACACTGAGAAAGGGTTTGGGGGGGGAAGAAGTGAAGACTACTCTCAGCCATTTTGGCTCAAAGGCGGTTTTGCTGGTTGATATTTTCACACTCTGAGCATCTCCTGATGCACATGGACAACCCAAGGCCTTTGCAATATCTACTTGTGTTCTAAAATTCCCCCAAAATGGATAGTTTTAAAATTCCTGC